TACATCCCAAATTCCTAAAGGAGACCGCAGACCAAATCAAGATCCCACTTAAATACATCTTTAAAAAATCAATAGCAGATAATTGTCTTCTGAAATCCTGGAAACAAGCTAATGTCACACCAATTTTTAAAAAAGGGAACAAGAAAGATCCAGGGAACTATAGGCCCATTAGCATTACATCAATTGTGGGCAAACTACTCCAGCGAATCATAAGAGATGAAATAATGGGACACATGGACAACAACAACCTTTTCTCTAAAGAGCAGCACGGCTTTAGAAGTGGGATGTCCTGCACCACACAATTATTGGAATCAATTGACGACTGGACAGAAGCTATTGACCAAAACAAGCAAGTGGATGTCATTTATTTGGACTACAAAAAGGCCTTTGATAAAGTACCCCACAGGAGACTACTACACAAAATCGAGGGATATGGCATCAAGGGGGACATACGGGGCTGGATTACAGACTTCCTGAAAGATATGGAACAAATAGTTGTGATCAACGGTTGTGAATCTAGTACATGTCAAGTCACAAGTGGAGTCCCCCAGGGCAGTGTGCTGGGGCCAGTCCTATTCCTCATCTATGTTAATGACCTACCTGAGGTCATTCATAACCTGACCAAAATGTTTGCAGATGATACAAAGATATATCGTGCAATGGATCCAGGAGATCAGGGGCAACATCTTCAAGAGGATCTTCACCGTTTGAACAACTGGACGAGAACATGGATGATGGAGCTAAATTCTGACAAGTGTAAGCACCTAAAATTACACCAAGGAGCTTTAAAATGTGACACTTCATACAGCATCATCAAACAGGGGGAAGTTCACAAACTCCAATCTGTTGCCAGTGAAAGGGATCTAGGGGTGACTATTGACACTAATCTTAAGTTTAGTGAACATGTAAACCTGTCAGTAGCAAAAGCAAACAGAAATGTAGGAATGATCTTTAGGACCTTTAGCTGTGTAAACAAAGAAATGTTCATTACCCTATACAAATCCCTTGTAAGACCATATCTAGAGACCGCTGTTGTAGTTTGGGCACCCATGCTTATAAAGGATAAGATATCTATAGAAAATGTGCAAAGAAGAGCCACCAAACTGGTCCCTGGTATCAAAGACCTATCCTATCCTGAAAGACTTAAGGCTCTTGGGCTACCAACAATGGAGTACAGGAGACTAAGGTCAGATATGGTTCAAACCTTTAAGATAATAAATGGGATAGACAACATCAAAGATGACTTTCTAAAAATCAATGCAACAAGAACAACCAGAGGTCACAACCAGAAACTTGAAAAACTGAGGTGTAGAAGTAATCTGCGTGCCCATTCGTTCAAATTTAGAATTGTAAATGATTGGAACGGTCTCTCTGATCAAGTGGTTAATGCCCCATCTCTGTTTTCCTTTAAGACCAGGTTAAACAAATAACAATTCGAACCAAGCTTCTACTAATTAGTTGGGTTATATAATTAACACATACAACCTCCCAAATGTTCAATCCAAAATCAGTACTTTTTTTAACTCATTAAACCCTTTAAATATCTATACTTCTAAGTACAGGTATCATGACAGGTCTATACAGGCCTGTCTGTCCTTTTTTATAACTGAATACCCTTATCTTATATGAAATTATTATACTACCCTTGTTATCACCCACTGCACCTGTAAATAATTTTCACTAGTTATTGAGAAACAAGTCTTCTTCAATACCTCCTAATGCAACCGGAAGTGAAGTGGACAGAATTACGAAGCACCTCAAGAAGCGACTGACGCTTACAACGGTGTCATAATCAATGAACCAATGAACCAAGTGAGTTCAGCACCTGTGCACAGATGTATCATTCTATTTTTCATCTCATATGTCAACAAGATGATGATCTGTAACATCCCACATTTTTTACTATTTATTTGTTAAATTATGTAGTAAAACAATGTCACTGTGCAAAATACCTCATTTAAAGTTTCAGGAGCTGTGACAAATTTCTTGTCTCGGAGTAAAAGAAACCTTATTGATCTGCCACCGAGACAAATTGACGACAACCTGATGCTGGCAGACGTTTGTTGTCTCTTGTCCGCCATGTTTAAACTATCATGATTTACTCCGAGTCTGCTCTCATGCAAAAAACATTGTAAGGGCATTATACATATATGGAAAGCATCGATCAAAAATTAAAACTATGTGTAAAATTCGATTATTGTTTACATAAAAATTTAAGTCTCTAATTTTGTTTACAGCAATCAATCTGAAGCCTTTACTTCACTCCTTTCTTCATTTGTCCACATCCGGCTCGAAGATGGCGGAGGATATGTTTGGCGATTCCTCGCTTTTTGACGAATTCGAAAAAGAACGGGATTCTAAAGGAAGTTTCATATTGTATAAGGTTAACGAAGAAGGAGAAGAAGACAAAAGTAAAATTCTTTTCCGAATCGGCGATTCTGAGGAGAGCGAATCATCATCTGACGATGATTCCGGCGAAAGTGAAAATGAAAACGAAGATGCAGAAGAGAAACACGAAGGAGCATCGGCGCATGGCCATGTCGATGGCAGTGATATTGTAAATGGAGGGAAATGCCATACTAAGAACCAACAGTCTGTCGATAAAAATACAGAATTTAAGCTGACGCATGAACGTATCCTTCTATCTACAATTGCATATTAGGACGAATCGTACCGACAATCGCAGATGCCAGCTTTTATTTTTTTCATTGTCACTTGCTAAATGTCAATCACTAAATGCCAAAAAGTTGTTGTTTTTTGTCCTTGCTAAATGTCAGTTGCTAAATGCCAATGTTAAAATGAAAATTGACAGTGTCGTGTATCCATGTAATGAAGTAGCAATGCAGTACATTGTAGTCACATCATTGTCCTTGCAGAATGGACCACCAAACCATTATATACTATTGAATTCATTAATTGTAAATTTCGACGGTGAATTATGCACATATTATTGAATAATAGTTATATCCAAAGTGAATGTCAGTGGGTATTTTGACAAAGAAATTTACCAAAGGGTGGCCACATGTGATATTTACACTGAAATCAATAATTAACCTTGCACGCTTTTGAAAATGACAGTTTCTGAAATGAATCACAGCTTTGATTTTGAAATATGTTGAATTGTCTTGGTGTATCAGTTTTGACTGAAAGAAATTGCTGAATATATAATTAGATGCATCCATATCACCAAGAATGGAAAATTAAAAAAAGTCCAAATGTTTATGGAACAGTGACTTTCAAAATATAATTAGTTCAGTTTTAGATATCAAGCAGTGAAATCAAATGGAATTTATAATATACATAAATGTATATCGTTACTCAAGAAAACCTTTGAACATGGGATTTTTATCCAATCTACGTACCTTAGATTGCGAAGTTGAAGACAGAAGTATGCAAACTTACATCTGAAAAGTAAAGGGCCAAATATCATACACACCCAGATATTATGTCAAGAGCAACACACTTGTTTATATGATAAATATTGATTATTACGCAAAATGTCTTTTAGAGGTTTTTGTCTTCCTGTCCAAAATTTCTGGAGGCCTGTAATTTGTTAAAAATGTGCATGAAATCCCATTCACACATATGCTATCTGTTTATGTACATATATGTAAAGATCATCACCATTTTTCTTTAACAAGAATCAGGCAATAAGTTTGAGAGATATGCAAGGATCATCGACTCTACACGGTAAGTACATATAAATACTGACTGTCCGGTAAATGTTTTCCTTGGAACCTGTTTTAACCCTTTCACCCCTATATAACTTTAATAAGCTCTGCCATGCATTAACATGGATAAGTCCATTATGGTCTACGGTGGTGAAAGGATTCAGTGATCTTGATTATGTGTAGTAAATTCTTCTGAGAACTGTTTCAGAATAAGTGTTGTATATACCAAAGGAGGGAACAGTTTTTCCAGGATAAACTTCAATTGCTTACTATAATGTTATCTGATATCACTGTAGGACTCGTAGAATAGAATTTTTGATTGTGATACATTATGGTCATAGCTATTTCTTGGTACTTGTTCTATATTATCTCCATTTCCATACAAATCTTTGTGGAATTTATCATTAGATTGATGAAAAACAAATTAATAAACAGTAAGTGAAAATAAAGTGAAAGGTAATGATCAGTGTGCATGTATAGACTTCATATGATATTTTATGTATATACTTAAGTGGGTTTTTTTATCATCAAAAAATCATCAAAAAAACAAATATGTAAAATGTTTTATTCCAATAGTTGTGGTGGTTTTTATGGGATGTAACAATGTTTTGTAAAGGATATTAAATGATACAACTTCCTACCTGGTAATATGACTCAGTTATGCATACATTTGATTTTCGTGTTGTTGAGTAACATGTTTATATACACAATGTACATGTATTTGGCAGTATAAATTTGACTCTTTCATGATTATTTTTAATTGATTTCTTTATGCCAAACCTGCATATAGTTGTAATCAGAAGTTGTAGCACTTGTTAATGTTTTATAAACCAGAAAGATGGGTTTTGAGACAGAAAAAAATAGGTCAAAAGGTGAAATAAAGCAATATTACAGAAAAAACAAGTGTAACTATAGTAATAACACTGCTAGTCTTGTTAAGCTTGTAATTTGTTCTTATCTGTTTTACTGATACATTTTATTATCTTTTTTAATATCTCTGCTATTCTGATTTTTTTCTTCTGTTCCAGGTTTGCTAGTGATATGGGCAGTCCAGCTTGTCAGATTATATATCAAAACAACAACTTTTCAAGGTATATAATCCGTTAATAATTTCAAATCAGTTGAATAAAAAATAGTAGCTGAATTTCATCATCTCCGTTATCCTATTTTTTTTTAAATGGTACAACACTTGATCAAGAATATTGAGTTAATTGTTTTCATGATCATGGTTAACATGTTCATGGTACATGTATCTACCAGTATACACAAGGTTGTAAATCCTGGCTTTTTAACATGATCCAACTTACTATATTATATGCTGGTATGTTAAAACACATGAACATTTATGTGTAGATTTGAAACTTTCTGAAGTGTGTTTACTAAAGACTGATTAGGGATAAAAATATCTATCAATATACCAGTTTTGTTGGAATTTATAAACATTATTTTGTTCTTATTATTTTTCATTGTGTATGCATTATGCACAAATCTGGAGTGGATTCCATCTTCATTGATAGTTTTTGTGTATCATAATATCTGATCAGAACAGGACTACAGGTGGGTGTTTTCTATCTTGTCTATTTCAGGAAGTATCGTACATCAATTGAAGGGTATATCTCACATCTGATTAATAGAGAGGAACAGGACAAGAGAGACAGACTGCCAGAGTTACAGCTCAAGGTGTGTCACTTTAACGGAAGACTTTGAAGAATAATGGCAGATGAATTTAACCATGATTTCAGATTTTTTTGTGATTCAACCATTAAATCTATAAAGTTATATTCATAGTCCTACAGAATTGTGAAACATTCAGGAGATAGTTATCTATCTCTTATAAACTTTGCATGTGTAATTGGACTAAACTGTGTTCTTGCTAAAAGATGAATGGCTCATCCAGTGAAAAGAATGCAGGTCTCTGGATTATGCAAATCTGTGAGTCATTCATTTAATGAAGACTCAAAAAGTTTAAAATCTTCATTTTTGACTTGCCATTTAATTCTAATCTATATATATATATATATTTCTATATCTGCTTAATTTCAAATTATTTTTTACCTATGAAATTTCATTCTGTATGTTTCAGAGCTCTAATCTGACTTGCGTAGATCTGAACAGTAAACTGACTGCTAGCCAACGAAACATGAAAATGTGGTCTTCTCATGCGGTATGACAGATACACATTAGATGTATCTCCTTACAACTATAGTACTACATATGTCTGGGTTTCCTTCATACTTATTGGCTAATCCTTGATCCCAGGTTTTCTGATATCGACACCAACGTTTCTAGTTTTGTCTTGTATGTGACTATATCAACCTCATGTTTCTAAATTAGATCAATATATTTCATTCACTTAATGTGAATATCCAAAAGTGACAGGTAAATAGAACATTAAAAACATACCAAAAAGGATAGGTATTAACCAAAAAAAAGGATAGATATAAAAAAAAAAAAAATGAACTTATAATACATCATGTATCTGCTGTTTTACAGTTTTATTTATTTTGTTAATGTCAGAAGTTCATGTTGTGATTTGAATCATACTATCATAAACCCTGTGATCCAACCTGTATCATATATCTCGTGTTATCCAATGACATGATATGTAATATAAAAATGAAGGACTTTTGTCGAGGTCAATATGTTGTTATATGGTCCTGATAGAGTGGTATTGACCTCGGACTGCATGTCTGAAGTCCATATAACAGTGTATTGACAACAGTCCATAATTGATAAATATCAACGCTAATAATAATGAGAAAGCATACCAAACTTTTTTGCAACATGTGTTTTCATTGAATAATTCTTGTTTAGGACAAAGTCTGAAACTTTATAGAGTACATTTTCATATTATGTTACTTGTTCAATACAATGTCTGAAACTACATTGTAACACACTTTTTCTGTTCAGTACAATATCTCGAACTTTATTGTTGTGTTTGTTAAGATCATCATCAGTAGTGTAGCACTTGTACAGGCTTTGTCTGGAGTTTTACAGGTGACCCCTAGTTCTTCCACAGACTTTTTTAATATTTTTACCTGTGGTTGTTCTTAATTTAATTAAACTGCAGTATTTTATAGCAGGAAACTTTCGTCAAGTCCAACTTTTGGTCCTTCACAGATAAAATCAATATTCGCTAGGTTATAATTTTACCCTTCACATTTACTGTGTATATTATGTCATTATTTGCTGTAATTATAGATTTACTCTCATTATGGAGAGCAAAAATGTGACAATGTGATGAAATTTCCAGTATACAGCATTTTTATATTTTATTCTGTAGATCCTAGGGAGCAGTCAATTTCACAGAGACTTTGTCATCGACCCATTGGGCTGGCCACTGGTAGCAGACAATCCCTCCCTCACCGACAGCTGGGAGGCACCCAAGTATCCTTGGTGATTTCACCAGTTGTTTCTGTTCGAATAGTTACATAGTGTGTCTTGTTCCTTATTTCTCTGATACTGATGGTCTCTATAGTCATTTTAACAGCCTACATATTTGTTAGTCAATTTCCTGTGTATACTTTTATGTAAATTTGAGTTTTTTTGTTGACAAAAAAAATATATAAAAAAATGAAGGTCTAATGCAAATGAATGAATTCATAATCATCCACTTAACAATATTGCAATATACAGTTTAGCATGGTTTAAAAGTAAGATATTCAACTGATTTATATAGGTTAGCATGGCTTAAACGTTAAATATTCAATTGATTTATTTAGTCTAGCATGGGTTAAAAGTAAGATATTTAACTGATTTATATAGTTTAGCATGCCTTAAAGTTAAATATTCAATTGATTTATTTAGTCTAGCATGGTTGAAAGGAAGTAAGATATTCAACTAATTTATATAGTTTAGCATGGTTTAAAAGTAAGATATCCAACTGATTTATATGGGTTAGCATGGCTTAAAAGTAAGATATTTAACTGATTTATTTAGTTTAGCAGGCCTTCAAGTTAAATATTCAATTGATTTATTTAGTCTAGCATGGGTTAAAAGTAAGATATTTAACTGATTTATATAGTTTAGCATGCCTTAAAGTTAAATATTCAATTCATTTATTTAGTCTAGCATGGTTGAAAGGAAGTAAGATATTCAACTAATTTAAATAGTTTAGCCTGGGTTAAAAGTAAGATATTCAACTGATTTACATAGTTTAGCATGGCTTAAAAGTAAGATATTCAACTCATTTATATAGTGTAGCATGGCTTAAAAGTAAGATATTCAACTGATTTACATATAGTTTAGCATGACTTAAAAGTAAGATATTCAACTCATTTATATAGTGTAGCATGGCTTAAAAGTAAGATATTCAACTGATTTACATATAGTTTAGCATGACTTAAAAGTAAGATATTCAACTCATTTATATAGTGTAGCATGGCTTAAAAGTAAGATATTCAACTGATTTATATAGTTTAGCATGGCTTAAAAGTAAGATATTCAACTCATTTATATAGTGTAGCATGGCTTAAAAGTAAGATATTCAACTGATTTATTTAGTTTAGCATGGCTTAAAAGTAAGATATTCAACTGATTTATTTAGTTTAGCATGGCTTAAAAGTAAGATATTCAACTCATTTATATAGTGTAGCATGGCTTAAAAGTAAGATATTCAACTGATTTATTTAGGTTAGCATGGCTTAAAAGTAAGATATTCAACTGCTTTATATAGGTTAGCATGGCTTAAACGTTAAATATTCAATTGATTTATTTATTCTAGCATGGGTTAAAAGTAAGATATTTAACTGATTTATATAGTTTAGCATGCCTTAAAGTTAAATATTCAATTGATTTATTTAGTCTAGCATGGGTTAAAAGTAAGATATTTAACTGATTTATATAGTTTAGCATGCCTTAAAGTTAAATATTCAATTGATTTATTTAGTCTAGCATGGTTGAAAGGAAGTAAGATATTCAACTAATTTAAATAGTTTAGCCTGGGTTAAAAGTAAGATATTCAACTGATTTACATAGTTTAGCATGACTTAAAAGTAAGATATTCAACTGATTTACATCGTTTAGCATGGCTTAAAAGTAAGATATTCAACTGATTTATATAAGTTAGCATGACTTAAAAGTAAGATATTCAACTGATTTATTTAGTTTAGCATGGCTTAAAAGTAAGATATTCAACTAATTTATATATAGTTTAGCATGGCTTAAAAGTAAGATATTCAACTCATTTATATAGTGTAGCATGGCTTAAAAGTAAGATATTCAACTGATTTACATATAGTTTAGCATGGCTTAAAAGTAAGATATTCAACTGATTTACATAACATGTTCAGGTTTTAGTTTCCTATACCAGTAGATATGAACAGGTATACACAGATCCACTCCCATTACCCGAGGAGGAGTTGGATAGTGGTCCCAGTAAACCACAGAGGTAAGTACTCTACTAAACCAATGTGTGGAATAATAGAATCTTTCCTCACCTTGAAGTCACAAGGTTTATCGAGTGTCTTTTACAATTTGAAAATTAAATTATGAGAGTAAGATAAACATTTTAATCATCCATCACAAGTTTGGGGACCTTTTTCTCCCACAACATTAGGATTTATATCCAGAAAACCGAATGTTTCTCTTCAGAATGCATTATTCCTGTTTCTGATTGGTGAGACAGTTGCCATGAACTATGACGTCACAATAGCATTGTTACTAGACATCCTAATTAGAGGATTGACCAGTGAGATAACGCCCAGAGTGTTACCCACTATTGGGTAAATACAAATGTTTACCATCTCCTAGCAGGTTTATCCAATGTATTGGGAGTGAGGAAGTCTGAAGTGATTGTGGGAGAAATCGAAAAATCTTAACCCTGTCATTTGAGAATCTTACCTGAAGAGTTGAGACTTTTTGTCTTACTCCACAAGTTAAGATTTTTTTCCACCTGTATACAAGCATTGATTGCATTATTTTCAAGGAAATCAAATTAATTTTCTTCCATGTCATCATGCTAATGTTTATGAAGTGCATGTAGCATGGCCATGCAGAAAATAATTATTTTGAAAATTACTTTGAAGGCTAATCTTATTTCTCAGATGAAGAATATTATTTTTCAGACAAAAGCCTACATGTTTTAATTGCTGTGGCGAACATATGATAGCAGATTGTCCAGATCCCAAAGACTTCACACGTATCAGGAAAAACCGAGATAAATTCCGGCAGGAAAGTGGGTCACAGAAACCACCGTAAGCTGAACATTTTATATATAAATATATAATTATCAGTTTTTTTAACCTCACCTGGTTAAAAGGACGTGTGAGCTTATACTGTGGCACAGCATCCGTCGTCTGTCTCTCTTTCAGTCAGCTTTTCCTTTAAATCGCTTCTTGTTCTGAACATCTCATTGGATTTTGACTAAATTTGGCCTGGAGCATCCTTGGGCAGACGGGGACTTAATTTTGTATAAACAGAGAGTATGATCCCTAAGAGGGGCAGGGCCCAATAGAGGAAATTGAGGTTAATGATAAAAATCCACCATACTTCTTGGGGGGGCGCAAAAAGAAGTGACGCAATGAGGGACAGTTATTCATGATACCGAGCCAATGTTTGGAAATAGTTGCAGTATTATATTTCATGAGAATATTTCCCCAAGGTTGCTTAATTATCCAGGTGAGCGATATAGGCCCACTGGCCATGGGCCTCTTGTTATATGAATGATTCAATGCTATATCAACAAAACATTTTCGTGATCTCTGACATGAATGTTGGTGCTGTTGTAAATCTATACAAAAACTATTTGATCACCTGTCTCATTGACATGTTATATGTCAATATCAGTGAATTTTATAATTGTGATTGATGTCTAAAGAAACATTTTGGTAAAGAGAATAATTAAGTTTGTTTATAAACATACTTTTTATATGATAGGTCCAAAAGATATCACGTGGAAAATACTTTTGAGTCAGAAAACAGCAGTTTTGCACCTGGTGTTATAAGGTAAGTAACAGCTGCATGTGGTGTTCTAAAGGAAGAAACTGTTACTTGGATTAGGTGTATGGAGATCAAGAACATTTGTGTGGTGTTCTGAGGTAAGAAACTGTTACTTGGATTAGGTGTATGTGGATCAAGAACATTTGTGTGGTGTTCTGAGGTAAGAAACTGTTACTTGGATTAGGTGTATGGAGATCAAGAACATTTGTTTGGTGTTCTGAGGTAAGAAACTGCTACTTGGATTAGGTGTATGGAGATCAAGAACATTTGTGTGGTGTACTGAGGTAAGGAATGGTTCTGAAGTAACAAACAGTTGGGTTACATGTTCTGAGGAAAATAACAGTTGCATTTGATGTTGAGGTAAGGAACGTTTGGATTAGTAGTTCTGAGGTACGAAACATTTGGATTAAGGGTTCTGAGGTAAAGAACAGTTTGATTAGGTGTTCTGAGGTAAATCACTGTTGGATTAGGTATTCTGAGGCAAGGAACTGTTGGATTATGTGTTCTGAGGTAAGGAACTGTTGGATAAGGTGTTTTAAGCCAAGGAACTGTTAGGTTAGACATTATGAGGTAAGGAACTGTTGGATAAGGTGTTTTAAGCCAAGGAACTGTTGGATTATGTGTTCTGAGTCAAGGAACTGTTGGATTAGTGGTTCTGAGGTAAGGAACAGTTGGATTAGTATTGTTTAACGTCTTATCAACAGCTATGGTTATTTAAGGACGGCTGAGTTGAGGAACAATTGGATTAGGTGTTCTGAGGTAAATAACTGTTTGATTAGTTGTTCAGAGTCAAGGAACTGTAGGATTAGTGGTTCTGGGGTAAGGAACTGTTAGGTTAGACATTCTGAGGTTAGGAACTGTTGGATTAGGTGCTCTGAGGTAAGGAAGTGTTGGATAAGGTGTTCTGAGGTAAGGAACTGTTGGATTAGTGGTTCTGCGGTCAGGAACAATTGGATTAGTATTGTTTAACGTCCTATCAACAGCTATGGTCATTTAAGGACGGCTGAGTTAAGGAAAAGTTGGATTACCCAGTTGGTGTTTTGAGGTAAGGAACAGTTGGATTACCCAGGTTGGTGTTTTGAGGTAAGGAACATTTGGATTACCCAGTTGGTGTTTTGAGGTAAGGAACATTTGGATTACCCAGGTTGGTGTTTTGAGGTAAGGAACAGTTGGATTACCCAGGTTGGTGTTTTGAGGTAAGGAACAGTTGGATTACCCAGGTTGGTGTTTTGAGGTAAGGAACAGTTGGATTACCCAGGTTGGTGTTTTGAGGTAAGGAATGTTAGATTACCCAGGTTGGTGTTTTGAGGTAAGGAATGTTAGATAACCCAGGTTGGTGTTTTGAGGTAAGGAATGTTAGATTACCCAGGTTGGTGTTTTGAGGTAAGGAACAGTTGGATTACCCAGGTTGGTGTTTTGAGGTAAGGAATGTTAGATTAGATATTTTGATATTCAACAGTGTTCTGAGTTAAGTGACCAAGTTTTCATGTTTTGTAAGGAACATTTATGCATGTTTACTAATAGATATGCAATGTTCAAAAGTAAGGAACAGAAGTTGGGTTAGGCATTCTGAGAGAAGGAACTTTGGATTAGGCGTTACGAGGCAAGGAACTGTGTTCTGGGTAAGGGACACTTCCACAGTTGGACCTGAATGGGTTCAGAGTGTGAATATTTCAATTTTGAAATGGTTCAGATAAAGAACCACAAATTTATTGCAATGCTTTTTTTCTTTTTTCTTTTCACTTCCTAAATGGCCTGTTTATCTTTCATAATTCCAATGATCTTAAAAACTGCTTGATGTACAGTGAAACCAGTCTGCACCAATGCATGCCATTACCAGTATGATGATGTTTTGTTCTACATTGAAGCCTGTGCAGTGGGACTTGTTTGAATGGGTTAATGACAGTGTCTGGATTCACTAGGTTTTGTGTGGTTACTATGTACATACGATATACCACTGGTAAGGTAACTTGTACTCTGTTACAGTGAAGAGCTGAAGGATGCTCTCGGGATTACGTCTCGCTACCTTCCCGCTTATATCTACAAGATGAGGGTTCTGGGATACCCGCCAGGCTGGTTAGAGGAGGCCAAAGTACAGGGCTCAGGACTGGCAATGTTTGACGGCGAGGGAAATGGTTTGTACTTCATCTGTGTGTATATGGAGTTGATCTGATTAATTCAATACTTTTAACCCTTAGGCTGCTACGCGCCACAATAGTGGTTTCGAAAAGTCGGGCCGTCAGTGCTGCGCACGACAATAGTGGCGCTCGGTCTGTAGGTTTTTGATCAGTAAACAGGAAGTGTGAAAGCGGACTGTTGCTATACCAAACCCGAAAGCGTATAGTAGAAGGCTTCTGATTGGTTGTTTTGTCATTACTTTCGATATTCCCGGCAATGTACCCTAGTAATAAACAAAGTGTGCAAGAGAATTTCAAATCGGAAAAACTGTCATAAAAATGGTGGACGTGTAGATTAAAGTGATGAATATGATGGTAAACATTTATTCTCCAGCGTCACCTACAATGATAATAAAGGTTTTAAAGGGTTTGACATGGTGGATGTGGAAATACTTCGGTGTAACATAATATGTAACTTTCCAATGAACGGCTTTGTGCCCTACGCAAACATGAAAATATCGGTGGACCGAGGCGCACATGTCGTCTGCAGGTGAGGCCGAATTGAACATTGACATTTGATACGTTTTGAGCCGATTGATTTCTTCAAACTATTTATCTATGATTTAATCATAAACTAGATCGTAGCTAAGATATATCTATACGCCGACTGTGACAGTAAATATATTGAATGATGACCTGAAACCTGTAGCAAATCGCATGCAATTCTTGATGAATTACCCGACCTTTTTACCTGAGAATCTTCGTGTAAATGTACAGTGTCTTATGTCATAAATGAAGTTTATAATCTCTGTTATCATTTGCCAATCACATTTGCTGACAAAAATAATTTTAAAATGATCTTTCTGGTGCTTAAATCTGATTAATTAAAAGTTTCACCTTTTCTTACCTTTATTACCACCTGTACAGGTAAATACTGAAGCAACTTTAGAATCGAAAACGTTAATATAAACTAGAGACAATAACGAACAATTTTCCTGCAACTTTTATTCACATATAACAAATATTTTTCAAGTTATGCACATTTGAAAAATCAAGTAAATTAATTTATATTTTAATAATGAATTCAGCAGTGGCGTCCCTTTACATAGAAATCAATGTAGCAGCCTAAGGGTTAAGCTCAAGTTTGAAGTAAGCTTTGACATTTTGTCATGGTTATTAAAAGTTAATGTTCCTACTGCTGTGGGTTATTCTAGAATACAGCATTTCATTTAAATCCAACAACTCCTACATTAACAGTTTCCTATCTGGAATAGCCCAGAGTGTGGTAATCTCAAATACATTCTATCAAAGTTTTATAGGGCTAATACTACTGAAGTATCCAGTTGTCAGAAGTTAGTATTTTGATAGGTCACTTTTTTTACTTTTGTTTTAAAGACAGGTATCTATAAATTTGTGTTTCCATCACTGCAAAACTTGACATAACAAAAGTTTATAAGTATGTTTGTATCCTTAGAGAGGTAGACTTGGCACAGATTTAATATAGATATAAGTTTTTTTCCCTTTATACAAACGTACACCTACAAAGATTTATGAAACGTTTTTATGCTGCCGAGGTAGTTGAAATTAAAAGATTTATAAATGAGATTTCTATGCTATCTATTAACCCTTTCACCACTGTAGACCATAATTGACTCATCCAGATCAATGTATGGTAGAGACTACAAAAGTGTTAAGAGGTAGACCTAACTTAAAATAATCAATGAGCATATATCCACCCTTGTCGAGATAAATTTAACATAGATTTATGAATAAAGCTTTATATGTGTTTCTGTTCTATCTATACAGAGGTTAATGTAACAGGGGAGAGCATGGAAGACGGTGAGGTCCGCGACACAGTTCCTAACAAAGGTCAGAGGCTTTCTTGTGTTTCATGAACAAAAAATTTCATTTCATTTAGATTTTATTCTGTGAAATGGGTAAAAAAGCAAAACAGAAACTTAAGTGAAAAAAAAAGTGTTTTAGATAAATGTTTCAATGTTGATGTTATTGCTGCAGTTTTCTTCCTTCGACTTATCTATAGTGAATAAATGGCAGCAAACTTATTTTTGTATGCATACACTGATTGCTTTACCTAGTGTTATAGCCAAAAATAGGCATCACCCATAACAAAAAATCCCATATTTTCCCAAAAGGAAGAAAAATTGAGGAATTTCTTTCCAAATTTAAACGAAAATATTGCTATATTTTAACAACTTTCATTTGATATTTTCTGTGTGACTTCAGGCCAGATAGATCCTCACAAGATTATAGCGTATCCTGGCTTCACCGTGGCAGTACCACCGGACACCATAGACGTGAGTTGGCACTAGGGGATTATCTGTCTATATTTCCTAATAAGGAAGGCCATTGTTTTTGTTTCCCTAGATACATTACAGCTCATATGTTGACAGAGGTATATATTTTGGGAAGGGAAATTATGAAATGGTGTATTATATCTGGCATGTATTTATGAATGGTTTGATTCTAGTGAAAATATGTTAATTAAAATTCACTTAGTTAATCCTGGACAGTACATATTATTCTAAGCATCGTGTGCTGTGTGGATCCTAATCTGTATTCTCCAGCATTGAGTGATATCATCAATTACCTCATCATGAAAATTGAGGTTCTGTATTTTGAAATAATGTACTTTTGATGGTCAAAGTGGGGAAAGACGAGAAATATATAATTCATAGAGTTCTTGTTATTAACAACAAAGAGTGTTTGTAGGAATACGAGGAGCTAGGAGCCCCACCCCTACAGGAACACCAGCTGAAGAGTACTCTCACCGCCCAGCTGACTGGCATGGTATGTTACAGTTAATTAAACCAAAACTTTTCTCTTTATCATCTATTCATATGAAGAATAATGATGTTAACATGTTTTATTTTTGTAACTCTAGAGCGTTTATACATGTGCTGTAATATACCTTTTAGTAATTAGGTTAAGTATATATGATGTGCAATATATTGTATATTATTATTTTAATATCAGGTTATGACCTCAGCCTGAAACAATAGCATTCAAAAAAGACTAGAAGGATATTTCAATGACAAAAAAATGAAAATGGCATTAGAAGTAATATTCCATGTACAATAGCTATAGAGATATTACCAAAATTCCATTTTTTTTACCTACAGAAGATTTTGATTGTCATTGTCAAATTTATAAGAACTGCATTTGATGTGTATTATGTATGTGAACAGAAGAGAAAGAATGACGAAATAGAGGAAGAGTCCCGAAGGAAGAAGAGGAAGATGGAGAGGGCTAGCATGGAGGAGATGGACCTATCAGACCATGAGGATAGTAAGTGTTGTGAAATATATCTGGCAGACAAGACAGGATGATCTATAGATAGCCTGTATTAGTTCATTTAATGTGCACAATTAATTGATTGTTCATTAGGATAACAGTTAAAGACTGATGTCTTAACTAATTAGAACCACTCTTTAACACAGGTCAGTGATGTCATATTCACTGTAGCATCCAGGGTGCTCAAAAACAAAATCCTTTTTAGGGGGGTGCTTATTACAGTAATAATAAACTATGAGTTTAACTGAAAAAGGGAAGGGGTCTGTATAATTTCAACCCCCCCCCCCCCCCCCCCCCCCAAAAAAAGCTGTGTTGTTTGTTTGTATTGTAGAATAATAATTGAAAGTTCCTTTATATTACACAGTATTAAAATTGTTTATTTTATCAAATGTTTACTTTGCACTCCCAGTTTAAGCTTGGTATTGAATTTTGCTTTACTTACAATCAAAAATAAATAGTTTAGTGTTATTCCAGACATAAAGGTATAGAAGGATTGTGGAGGAAGGCATGCTTTGTAATCATAATCACCCACAATTTGTTTTAACACCCTCTCTCCATTACATATTATGACAATTCATTTAGACAAAAAGTGCCTCCTCTCCCTCGACCATATCGATGAACACCGCATTAAAAAGGCAATTATTTGTTCAGACTCTCTATCTGTCCTACAGAGTTTACAGCTACGAGATCCTAAAAACACAATCATACAAAACCTTGCTCTTCGAATATCTCGTATATTAAAAAAGTCTAAAATAACTTTACTATGGATTCCGAGCCATGTCGGAATAAAAGGCAACGAATTTGCTGACAGGGAAGCAAAAAATGTATTGAATCTAAAACAAACCATTTTATCTGATTTTATCTTCGCTATTCACATGTTTGTTAAAAAAGTAAAATAAATAAATAAATCACCATGGCCCTAAATGACCACAGCCGTCGATGGGCCGTTAAACATAAACAAACAAACAAACAAACAAGCCTCCTCTCCACCTGGGGAAAAAAATCATATCTGGAAAAGCTTGTTTGCCTCAAGCTTGAAAAAAACACCCACCATTGTCTGGAATATAAGTGTTGATCCTCAAACTTCATGCTTACAAATAACTTTCATACAACAGCAGCAACTGCAGATATACAGTATTATACCTATTGAGAGCAGAATTTATTTTACCTTGAACAACTTAAAAAGCCTAACATGTTTCTCCTTTGTTTTACAGTAAAGAACAAGTCGCTTGACAGCGATGGTTTTGTTCCACCTCTGCCCATGGATACACCTCCGTCGAAGCCTCCCCCTCCAGACAGCACCCCTCCTGTTACACCCGACATTTTAAAACCAAAGCGATTACCACTCCCTGGAGAACCACCACTGCCAATCAACACTCCCCCAGGCAAACCGCCTATCCCTGCAGAAACCCCACCTCCTACTCCCAAAGGATTGACTCAAGTAAAACAGGTGCCACGGGGGCACTCACCATCACTGGAGGACTTAGAGCAGCAGTATCAGTTACTACAGGAGAAGTTGGGTGAAGCTGATGGAGATAAAGAGGTGGAGCTACAGGTGATGGACAGCTGTGGACCAGAAGATGAAGATGATGACCTTGACGTTGCTAAAAGTCAACTGTCAAAGATTAGCTCGGTTGAGTCTGCGAGCAGCAGTAGCACTCAGGAGCTCTCTCAAAGCCAGATGTCCAGGATGAGTTCTACTGCTTCCATCACCTCATTTGGAGAATTGGGGAGAGGAAGTCCGACCTCCTCACTTCCTGGCACGCCGGTCGTGGGACCAAGTAGTAATTTGACAGAACTGAACTTTTCCTTCAAATCCACTACTGGGTCCATATCTCGTGACTACGGCACTCCAATACAGCAGAGACAAGGTGTCGCTAGTGATCTGCCTGATGCGGACAAATTCGGAGAAGGGATAATGGATCACATCCCTTACGAAAATCTCCCAGAGGCCACTGGTACCTTTGAAAAAATGCGTGGACTTATTGACAGAATAAGGAGTAAAGTTAGTCTGAGGAAGAAGAAGTCCTGACCAACATATGTTGTGAATATCTTTCTAGCCTTACGCATGTGTCACTCCTTGTTTCCATCAATTGTCATTGTGTGATATCACAAAGACGAATGTCTGATCATAGTCATACAGATTAATAAAATCTAGCACTCTTTTGTGACATAGAGAAATCTCGATCCAAGGGTGAAGTTTTTAATGTTTAACACATGGCTGTGTCAAGTGTTTAGCTTAAAAACAATTATCCCGAGGATTGGGATTTCTTTCTGCTTCACATGTACAGAGGAGTGATTGATTATTTTTCTCCCTTACTTTCCAACCATAAAAAATGTTGAATTATGGTGAATCATCAATTATGCATGAAATGTGTGACAAAATTTAGAAATACTATCCTTGTTCACTACATAAAGTGATGATGTTATGATGACGTTTTAAGAGTAATAGATTGAGTGAGCTGTCATTCTCTGGGTAGGTAAGGACAGGTTTAGATGTGAGGATATATAGTTATCTGATCAAAGATAGCTGTGTAAGTATCTTACATTGATAGCGAGGTGGTCGTATATATCACCATTTGTCCGAGACAAATGTCAGTCATAGATGTCATATCATTATCTTATAAACCTTGTCATAGATGTCATTTTTATGCAGAAATTGTTATCTGATTATTGATATCGCTAGCATCATCACACACAAATTATTGGTGAGAGTTATCTTTGTCTCGCCCTAGGGTTGAGATGGAAGGATTCCCCTATTCATAATAATGTCACGCCAACAATCCACCAACGTCGGGTCAATCGTGAATTTAGCATGTAACGTTAACAAGACAAACGAAATGATATATCGTATGTAAAATTCCAATTATAAAATGTTTAAAAGTCTTCTTAAGTTGATGTCAACTTAATGAAAATGGTTTAGCTTAGATATTTTCAAAAAACATGCAAATGTAAGCTAAATAATATATCTACCTTTTAAATCTGTTAAGATGAGAAACAATGTAGAAGTTCAAAATATAGATGTAAATGATATGCAATGTTAAAACAGAGTAAGAGAAAAAGAATCATTCATCCCCTTCAGGGTGAGAAAGGGGAATCTCAACGCTCAGGGAAAGATTCTTAAATCGCCAAACACTCTGCAAAGCCTCGTGTTTGGCAACTTAAGAATCTTTCCCCTCAGGTTGAGATTCCCCTATCTCACCTTCAAGGGGGTGAGCTATTCTATCAATCTTTCCCTACCTTGAGAGTGGGACAGAGAAATCTCAACCTGAGCGGTAACATATCATTGGTTGTCTTACCTGAGGCTTGCTTCACACCGAGGGTAAAACATTCAAGATTAATAGACACCTAGTGAAAAGTTTGTAATTTGATTGTTCGAGACAAATTGATCATTTTACACTGTCACATTCGTTTTAACATTGAGTCAATGGAAGGGTGCTTCTCAATGCTCTAGCAATGGGTGACAGTGCAAAATACTGACTGTGCAAAGAAGATGCAAGTGTAGTTGACTTTTGGTAAAATAAAAAAATACTACACTCGTTAGTTTGTGACAGTGCCTAGGGTCAGCCCGAGGGTATCACTGTCTGACAGTGCCTAGGGTCACCCCGAGGGTATCACTGTCTGACAATAATATGAACACTGCATTCCCCTCAGGTTACAGTGTCACGGAGGGGAATGTAATGTTCATAGTATCTTGCCCAGAGGGTTGAAACTACCCTCACTGCTGGGGATATTATGTTCTGGTTATCAGTTTATTGTTCTTATGAATTTACCGTAATGTTTCTTTCTGTGGTGTTATGATGTCATGTCGTTGTAGTATCTTTCATACCCTTTGGGGTTGACAGAGAAATTTTGAACGCGTAATACTGGAGACATTTCTGGGGGAATTTAGGGAGAATAAAAGATTTTTTTATATGTAGGTATGAGGGATATGGCTTTGTCAAGGTTCTGGCTCTAGGTAATGCACCCAATGGTAGAATTGTATATCCCACATAATAACATAATGATGGCCAATATTTCTACCATCTCTTTACCAAACTTTTGGTAAGTTATCCCACGGTCCAAAAAAGGCTGGTCCCTCATTTGAGAACACATACCCCCCCTACCCCCACATGGTGGATTAAAATTAAATTAGTCCTACAGACATTGGTTTCTGAGAAAAATATTACAAATATTACAACAGTATAGAGATTATCTCCTTGTCGTAGTGTTTGTTTGACTACTAAATATATTGTGCCAGTTTGGTTATATATAAACATGAGTGTTTGGTATATATATGATTTTTTTAGAGAAAACTGCTTTAATCTGTCATGATAGCTATTGGATTGTAATGAGTGTTCGATAAAGTGCCGATAGAATACACTCTGGTTCAGCAGATCAATGATTGTACATATATTGACATAGTAAGTGTATAATTGAATTATTATTTCAGCTATGCATAGGTAATCACACCTAACAAAAAATTATAATGATCTTAAAAAGTTAATAAAAAGAGAAAGATATCAATAACTATTTATCAGCAGCGTTTTTGGAGGGTAAGTGCTATTTGCATTTTAAAACTTCAGATTTTATCTTATTTGTTTTTTATTCATATAATTGTCATAAAATGGCAGCTAATAATCTCCAGTAGTTTGTAGATTTGATGTCCTGGTACAGTTCTAATCAAATGTGTTGGCAGTAGTATGTTTGTGTGAGAATTCAATGTTATATGAATTAGCTGGAGTCGAATCAAACATTCGATCTTAGAAAAAAGATCAGGGAATCTTTAAGTTTTTGTATTTATCATCACTAGTAAAAATATGAATTCAATAGTAGATTAGTAGACATAATGTATTATTTTTGTTCAGAAGTATTTGGAGAAGTCATTTAATTGTGGGAAGAAGTGACGTTTACAAGTGTGTGGGCCCTGATTACAATGTTGTGATACCAATTTTATGTTGTATTTGTATTTGATAACACATATGGACAGAGTTTCTATGAGTCAGTTCATGATGAAAAGAAATCATGAAAGCCGAAAATATTGTGAGAAAGGATATTTTCATAGTATAGACACAAGGAGAGGAGAAAGCTGTATTTTTGTGGGGCATCATGTACTCAAATATGTAGTTTATTTTGTAAAAAAAACCCAAAAAAACATACTAGTAATATGAAATGAAAGATGATTTAAAAACAAAAATAAAAATACATGTATGTGACCCATGGCCAGGTGTAGGATTCAGATATATATTGACTGGTAGATATTTGTCCAGATATAGTATGGATGTTTTAGTCTCCCGCCTGGTCTTAGATAACAAACAATATCAGCTTAATTTTTCTACCAGCTTCAATGTAAAGTTAACCCCACTTAAGTTTCGATTCTTGTTCTGTTTGACCAATATGGTGTATTAAGGTATGATGATTGAGTTTACATTGAAAATGATGAACATTGACGATTAGTATTTGTACGATCCATGGTGGGATCGACAGGAGTTCATGCTATGCCGTTTTGACTAGTGTATCAAGTGTAATAATGGATAGATTGGACGGTATGTCATTTATTACACCACTATATATCCAGTGAATGGTTCGATAGATTGGATGCTACGCCATTTATTATTGTAGTTTATACATTGTAATGTCGTTTTTAAAAAGGAATACAAGAAAATGAAACAATTAAAAAGAAAGAAATTTGTATAAAATATCTTACGTTTGGTTATTTCTGTGGAGGCTACCAGTGTTTGCTTCCTAGACTAGTGCAATGTGTGTTTTGTGTTTGATTCAAATTGTATGGCCATGTTTGCAGGGTAATAGCAGTAGTAAATCGGAACCCATGAACTCTAGACAGAATAACCACAAATTGAGCTACCTGGTCGCCGGCAATTCACCAATTCCAGTTCTGCTGCATTTCTTCCAAGTCTTAGCCCCGAAAGACACCACTACCCACAACCCAGGTTCGGGTACAGGTTCGGGTACTCTCTTGCCAAGCAATCACTCGCTACTTTCAACAAAAGTTTGCAAGCTGGCCATTTTTGTAATAGGGAAACGAATAAGGCGAATGCCAAACCGGGACCCTAAAAACTGTTCAGACGGACGTTCTACCAATTGAGTCACATGGTCGCGGACGATCGACCCATTCGAACTCTTCTACATTTGATATTATTTTGAAAATCTCTTGAATGAAAGCTGGAAGTGGTGATCATTTGTTCTAGGGTGTCCTGCTTTTAATTGAAAAAGTAATTCTGTGCATCTACTTAACAGATATACTCAAAACATATTTTTTGATAATCATTCATGAAAATCTTTAGCAATATGCTGATATATCATCTAAAAACCTGTTTAATCACATATCTACCGAGTTGTTCTGCCTTAAACATTATCCCCCGTTAAGAGAACCAATAGCTATGTTAAAATGCAATTATTTCGGGATGATTTAAAGTAAAATGGAAACAAATGTAACACATGGTTATACATATTGGCCGAATTAGAACAACAGCCGGAATAAGAGACACACCAAAGCTACCCCTCCTCATTAAAAGTGTGTCCAATGTAGGAGAGTACCTCGTTTTCAAACTGAAAATATACCATGTTACGCGCGTAGATGTTTTCCTTCACTTTCTTTTATTGTTGAATTTAACAATGATAACTGCAGTTGTTTATTTGAATATTTGAATAAGTTTTTTCCATTTATTTTTGCTGTTCGTTTCGAGATAAACAACAAATATTACTTTCAGGCATTTCAAATCCAAACAATAACTTTCGGTTAAATGCAGATCTACGTTCAAAAAATGTAAGTTAGTTTATTATAACATATAACGTCATGATAATGTAGACTGTTGGTGTACATTAATAATGTTTTGAAATATTTATTGTAAGGTATTGACTCACAATACTTATTCTCAGAAAAGGGCATGATGCTTTCTTTCGTTTTCTCAAAAACATGTAGCCGTTTGATAAACAGTCCGATTTCTAGTAATACTTCCTGGTATGTTGTGTTTGGGTTTTCTGGATTTCCGGGTGCGATAAGATTGCTATTCTTATACATGACTCGGCAAAAATTTTGGATAGGCTTCCTACCCTCAGTTTTAAATGCTGACTCATTGAACATTATGGAAAGCAATAATTGATCAACGAATTACTAGTATAAATTTAACACTAAGCTTGTTCTGTAACTATTACACTAAACTGATCACCCAAAGGTATAGATTGTTATTTTCAATGAGAAATGGATGAAATTGAATACGGACCCCTATTAGATTTGATACAAAGGTAGCGCAGTTCTGTTCGTTTGGTTTAAAGACTCGCTATTACGTAAGCCTCCGAGTATAAAAAATGACTCCGTATCGTACTTTGTCCTTGTTCTACTGACACACTGCACCGGAGATAAAACCTCTACCTTGATCGAAAAATTTCCAGCTATGTTTAGCAAAATCATTCGATTTTGTTTTTGTGGAGTATGGCTATATTAAGAAACAAACATACACAATTTTCAGCGTTCTATTATTGGGATTGTTAGCAATACAAGCGTAATATACATACATAGAATCTTCGATGGGTTACTATTCGATTAATGGGATTGACGAAACTATGATTTATTGTATTGAGACAAGATGAAAAATTCATGACGAGTTTTATCAATCTTCTGTTGAATGGAAACACATTTCAAACCCTGTTTCATTGCATAATCAACTTTTTGATGTTTCGAAAACACACTTTCATTAAGATTTTAAGATAGTTTCGAAAGCCAGACTCTTTAGCTATTATTTCGATTGATATGTCATGACAGTTATAATCTGGAATTACGTGATGTAGTCTCTTTATTTTTAACGTCATTTAGGTCGTATTGCATGAGTTCATATGCACCGAACTGAAATACTAACAACTAGGTAGTAACACACATCACAGGAACGCAACATTTCATATAAAAGATAACCAACCTATCAAAGAAACACCATGCCATCCCCAATACAACGACACACACATAGATAACAGTTGTTAGGTGATAATACCTTTAAAATTTGTTAATGTAGACAGCATACCAAACATGAAATACACTACATCATATATACAACATAATTATACAGCAGACGATTGTCCGTATACAAAAATGTGATAACCTATAACAACTTTTCTTAATAACTTTAGACTGCAGCACATTTGTATAACTTTACTGATGTAACGATTACATCACTTATCAGTTATATATTATATTTTATTTGTTAATGTAAATTTCACATGTAAATATCCTATGACAGTGAATATTCCACTGCGAAATTGGGCATTGCTTTTGATTTCTATTGGTTTGTCAAGTGCATTATTTCGAAAAAACCCCAGTATATACCACCAAACTAGAATATTACATATACAACACGTCACATAGAACATGTGACCTTATTTTTACCACGCGATGTATACACTTGAGAATCGGGTTCATGGTCATATAACAACCTTTATTATCCGGCAATGAATCGGGTATGATATATATCTTATAATGTGTATTATGATATCAGGTCGCCTGACTGACTTAGTCATGTCTAGAACTTACGGATATACATCTGGTACACGGAAATATACCCGGTAGTATACAAATGCACTACTATTTTTAGAGTGGGGTAACCAGTCGCTAAGTTTATCCTTACCGATCACTATCTATTTAAAGTACTGAATAATGTTTGTTATCAGTATTGTGTTACATAGAACTACATATATGGTTTAAGATCATGATGATCCTTAATATATCACTAATAATGGAAAAAAAAATCACTTTTATTTAAGCTTTATACCGGCAGTACAAACTATTTTAGTGAATTTTTCGACATAGTCTAACGTTTGATGTATATGAGGTTAATGTTAATTCCATGTAACTTAAGGTAGTGTTTTGGTTGTATAGTTTTTTACCAAACTTTTCACTTGAGGTTTGTTTGAGTTTCAGCCAACGCTGGATCTTTCTTTTAAAATATGTATGTATTTTTGTTTTGGGACATTCTGGTACTTAAATTTATATTTATTTATATTTCTAGTAATATTTATATTGTATATCCTGTATGTATGCATTGGACTGACTATATTAGGACACTGTTATAATTAATTATTAATTATAAATTAAAAAATTAAATTAAATTAATTAATTATAATTAATCAAATTAATTATTAAATTGAATTAAATTATTGATCAGGGATTCAACAGTTCGTGCCTTCCATGTATAATCGAGTAAGCCTAAGGAAGTTAGTCTAAGCTCGGGAAATCTCAACTTCTGAAACATGACTATTTTGCATTTAATGACCGTTTTAAAGATGGAAATTATGTGTCCATCATTCGTCGTGATTAATTTAAATTACGTCATAGCTTATTTTGTTGGAAATCAAAGCCTCTTCTCAGTACCAGGACTTTTGAATAATTGCATAACAGCATCACATATCATTGACAGTGGGTTTGTGTAGACAGGAAACACTTGAAAACCTTACACATC